CCGCGCGCCGGCTCCGAGGTGGGCACGGGCCGGGCCGGGCCCGCTCCTCGTCCTTCCGCGCTCGGGGCCTTCTCCCGTCCGCCAGGCGTCCCGCCCCCGCGCCGCCTCGTCCCGTCCCGTCCCGTCCCCGCGGGTCCTTGTTCGCAGGAGACTTATTTCTGGCTGCGGCGCCGCGCGGGCCCGGCCCTGTGCCCGCCGGCCGTGGCGGCTCCTCGCCTCCGGGATGATGCAGTAGGTCCCTGCAGGGGTGGGGGCCGGCCCGGCCGGGGCTCTGGACGCGGCTGCAGAAAGGGGAGGGGAGGAAACGTGCTGAAGTCTCGGGAAAGGAGCGGGCTGCCCGGCACAGCCCGGCTGTAGCGCCGCCGGCTTCGTGCCACTGCCTTGGGCCACTCGTCTAAAACGTAGCCGGTAGAGCAAGCCGCTGCCCCGGCTCCAGCCGGCGCCCTGCAGTTCTCCGGCCGCGTTCGTGGCGTTGGGATCCGCCTCCTGGCTCGCCTGCCCCCGGGAGTGACCGCCGGGTTTGCGGCGGGTCCAGCCTGGCCCCTCGCCTCCACCCGTGCAAGTTGTTCGCCTGCTTCCCGGGGGATCGGGCCCTTGCTGCCTGGCTGGGGCGGGCGGGCGAGCCTCCGATAAAGCCCGCGGCGGTCGGTCTGCTTGCGGCTAAAGATCTGACTGCGAGCGGCTACGTGTTACGGTCGCACTTGGCATTGGGGTGGGAGTGGGGGGCGGCTGAGGCTGTATTTCACCAGCCGCCTCTGCTCAAAAGCCTCCTCGGGCCAATGCAGGTGCTCGCGGGGCCCGGGAACGGCAAGACAGCCGGCAAGGGGAGTCCCGGGGACGTGCTGGTTGCGAGTGGCGGCAGTGTTCGCTCTTCCTTCGGGTGCCAGCTTCTCGTTAACGCTGCGCCCCGGCGTGGTGACCTCGGACGTCTTCTTGCTGTGCCGGTAACAGCGGCTATCGCTCCTACTCGAGTGTGACTGCTACCGGTACCGGACACCAGTTTCCCCACGTAGGGAACAGGGTGGGGTCCACGTTCTCTCCTGTCGGCCGCGGGGGCGCGATGATGTTCTGGTGCTCGCTCTGCACCCTTCGTGGCGCCGTGCCAAGCTCGCCTGTCGCAGGCCATACCTGCCCAGGACATTAGGCATGTCTACACCTGCGCTTTAATGCACAGTAGATTATTTTACTGCGCATTAAAGCGTCACATAAAAACTGTGACATTACGCTAACAGTCAACTGCGCATTAAGCATCACTACAAAAGCACGCAGACGTACTCCTGCGTGTTAGCACAGCCAAACGTGCGTTCATTTAGCACCGCACCTTGGAGGTGCTAATTTAATGCACGTGAGGAAAGGCGCATTAATGCAGGTGTAGATGCACCCGTTAAGTTTAGCCTGGCAGGCTGCATGTGCCGCTTAATGCAGTCCCGTGTTTTTCAGTTCTTCTCAACTCTGAATAATCTTTTGGTTTCCCTCAGCTGCTGTTTGTGAGGCCTTGTGTCCTCCAGCGGGTCGCGTGCACATGCTCACGTTGCCTTCCTGCACTTGTTTCTTCAGATCCTTTTGCAAAAGGTTCATGCCCCAGTTCCTTGATTTGGCCGGCAGGGTTTCCACGAGGTAGAGACCTACTTGCAGCCTGAGCATCTGTGTTCTGCAGAGGCGAAACTATAGCCTCGGGACACGGCAGCACGGGTGGGGAAAATCCCCAGTGGCTGGTATTAGACCAGCAGGTGCAAATCTACCTGACTTCAGACTGGCACAGCTGCCTGCCTCTCCCTGGTACGACACCTACACGGTGCATCGTCGCTGGGGGGCCCGGGAAACACGGCGGATGTCTGTAGACAGCCACTGCAGCGTGGCTGGAAATGGAGGGAGAGTGAAATCACGGCTCGGAAGTGAGGAGGGGAACGGGAGGACGCCGGACCTGGTTGTGACCCTGGTTAACGACTGACTCTTGGCATTTTGTCTTGCCGTTTCAGGAATCTGCCCCGGCTCGTGCGCCCTCGTACGCTCGTATCTACTAATACGTTTCGATTTAAAAAAAAAAAAAAGGAAAGACAAAAAGCCCTTTAGTGCTAGGTTTGCTGTGTGCACGTGCCCTGAGCGGTCCCTTATGCTGCCTGTCGCCCCTCTGCAGGGCTCCTCGTGGAGCATAGCACACCAGCCTTAATTTAGGAAAGCATCCCAAGGATTTGTATCTGCAGCTATAGACAGGTGGGTCTTCTCTGACGGTGGAAGTGCGGGCAGGCAGGCATTCAGCTGGAAGCTGGAAAGCTGCAGTGTCAGATCCCGCCTCGGGTGGCATTCGTAGCGTGGTTCAGAGCATTGTTGGATGCGTAAAAGAAAGACAAGTCCCTTTTAAAAAAGCTTTTAAGACATTTTTCTTTAAAAAATGTCTCTCTCTAAACAGAGCTAGCTACCTCGCCCTTGTAAAGCGCCAGGCTCTCGGAGGGATTGGAGCAGCCCGGGACGCCTGCATGCCACTATTCAATGTAGGAGTTGCGGTCTGGAAACGCTGCGTCCTTCTTCGGGGGATAGCAATGCCCAAGCGGCTTTGGAAAGCGCAATCAAAATAGCGTTTCCGAGCGGGCGGTGTGTGGTCAGTGGTCTGCACGCGTTCCCTGCCCCGGCCCTAGAGAAGAGCTCCCGTCTGCTCGGGCGATTGCTCCCTGGGGCCCCGGTTTGATACGCTTTCGTGGACGCTGCGACAGCCAAACGGGAGGTCCATCCTGGCGTAGCCTTAGCATCCTCTCTCGACTCTCCTGGCCTCGTTCTCGGGACATCCCTGACTGACGGATGGATTCTGGGTCCTGACAACCCTCCCGCTTGTGCCCGGTCCCTGGGGAAGTTACGGGCCGCTCTGTTCAGCACAAGATACCCTGCCCCCGGGTGCAAAGCAGGGATCCCCGCTGCTCTCTGCCAGGCTGCGTGGTTTGACACGTGCGTCCGTTAGCAGAATCGTGATCGCTCCAGTTTCTCGGGATGTGAAACGGACCCTGGCGTTGCACTAACAAAGGACTCTTTCTGCTGCAGGGTTTGGTGGACTACCCCAGCCTGGAGTTCGAGTATGGAGACACCGACAGCTACACGGCTGAGCTATCAGGTAAAGAGGCACGCGGAGAGCCGAGGTTTTTGCTGTGCACGAGTTCAGCTTCGCTATTAATAGCTGCCTGCTGGGTAGACGGCGGGGCTGGGGTTGGTGGGAGATGCATATTTAATACTATCATCCTATATTAATAGAGCGCCGCTCACCCCGGAGGATTGCAGAGTGCTCTGCAAACCACGTGCAGTAGAAGTGACTTCCTCCCCCCGCTGAAACGCAGCCGTTCGCGGGGGGGGACAGGAGAGCTGCGAACGGTGCTGCTGGTTTGGGTGGGAAGTGAAATGCATGAAGGCCTTGTAGCCAAATCGCTGGAGATATTTGAATGCCCTGATGCCATCGGCAGTGGCTTGTGTTGTGCGGGGCCCTCCACTTCCACCCCTCCCTGACCAACCTGGATTCACTAATCATTAGAGCGCGTGCACGAACACATGCACATGGCACCCGTGATGTCTTAAATAGTGCAAGGTGTCTGGGCAGGATTTGGGCAAGAGAAATTGGCCTCTTCCCCGATTCCCCTCTCTCCTGCATGCTAGGAGCTCACGCTGTTAATGTAGGTTCACGCCAGTCTCTTACGTGCTTTGCAACTGGACCAGGGCTCGGATCTGTGCTGGGGCTCGCGCTGATGGCCGAGAGCCCAGCTTTCCTCGGGTAGCACTGCGTGGGCGATGCGTGCTCTGGGCCGCAGTGGAGGGCTGAAACGGGCACTTCCAGACCCGTTTCGGTATGCTGGGGTGTTTCTCCAGCTTTCCAAAGCTTTGGGCTCCAGACCAGGAGGATACCGGCGGAGGTTGCTGCACTGTCGGGCGTGCCTGTACAGTAAAAGGCAAGGTTGGCAGTAACAGCTTGGCCTTCGCCTGTGCTAGCAAGCAGAGACCCAACTCCGCGAGGCTGGCTACGTGTTCAGGTCATTACTGCCCGAGGGACCCTGTGTCGCTGCATTTCCCCTGCTGCTGATACCTCTGGTGCAATCGCCCCTTTGCTTTGCTGGCAAACGTCCCAGCTCCTTTGCTGAGGCTGCTGTACAGCCATCAAAGAGCAACAGCTTTTTGGGCTGAGCTGAAAAGTGCCAGGCTTCCTTCCTTCCTCATTCCTGGGCTGCTGTTGTTGCTCGGGGCTTATCAGAGCTGCGCCCGAGCTGAGCTGCCAGCGGCACGCGGTGCTCCCATCGTGGGACGGTGCCCGTGCCCGGAGCATCAGCGTTTCATGTCTGTGTTTCGCTCGCTGGCTGGGTCATCACCCCCAAGCGCCAAGTCTGGCTGGCGGGCTCAAGCAGGGCGCTGGGGTGAGGGAGCCGTGGGGCGCCTGGTGATTAGCAGGAGGAGGGGAGCGGTCTGGTGGTTGTGAGGTCACTTTTGCTTGGGAAACGCTGCATGTTGTGGGCAGGCCGTTGTAATCAGGATAAGCTGGGGCTGGGGAAGTTGAGCGGTAAGTCGTGCCCGCTGTTCCCATTCCTCTTTGCTGTCTCTCCTGGGCACGTGGCAGGAAGCCTTGAGCACACTCTGAGCTGTGAGCTGTCACAGGGTCGCTATTTCGAGCTCCCCGCGTGCAGGTGTAAGCTGCGTTGGCTGGTGGTACATGTATATGTAGCACATTTTAGTTAAGGAGCTGTGCTTCCGCCGCTGGGGACAGAAGAAGATCGCTCCCCCTTACTGTCCTCTCCTGGCTCCCAAACACACAGTTCAGTAAATCAGTTTTAAATAACCTCCTTGGAGCTGTCTCCGTGCCAGGCCTGTCTCCATTTCTTTTTCCCCCGGGCTGTTGTCGAGCTATTTAAATGGGTGAGGCACCCAGATCGCTTTTGAAGCTGCGAAATACCAGCCTGCAGCATCACCACTCGATGCAGAAAGAAGATCGGCTCGGGAGGCGCCAGTGCTCGCCTAAAGCAAGTCCCTGAGGACGGGGGGGGGGAAGGGCTGCCCGGCTACGTGCCAGTGTTGTGGATGATAAATGGTGGAAGCACCTGCCACCCGGATTTTGTATTGGGCGTGTTTTTAGGAGGACTCACCGGCCCCGAATCCAGGGACAATGAAATCTGCCAGGAAAAAGTGACATGACGCTTCCCAGAAAGGGAGGCTACGAAGCTACGTGGCCTCCACCCTCGCCCTGACGGTTACTTGCTGACTGCAACTTGTCCTCGCTTGCTGCCAGCTCTTTGGTGCAGGGGTTTCCTCTTCCCCTGTGTCAGTCTAGACGAGTCTTGTTCATGCTGTGCTGGACGGGGCTGGAAGGGGTCCCGGGGGGCAGTCCCCTGCCCTCGCAGACACGGGCATCATAGGATCCTTGCGTAAACTGATTGTGCGCTCCCTTGAAATCGGTGAGGTTTGGGGCTCCTCCACCGCTTCTGTGGAGCTTAGCTTAAAAAAGAAAAAAAAAACCAAAGGAAATGAGAAAACAGTCCCATGCACTTTTATCTGCAACCCGAACATGACTGCCCGGGGCGGGGGCTGGAAGACCTGAGGACAGAACGGGCAAGGAGCAAGAGCGGTGACTTGTGACTTGTGCCCTCGTTCTAGCAGTGGTGTTAATGCCTGCTACCGACGGCCTTGCCCACATAGCTCTGGTGTTTTAGCCTAGCCATCCTTGTAGACCCAGTTTCATTTGCATTACAATAAACCTTGCAGACTCAGAGCTACTTAACCCCGCTGGACTTCTTTCATTTAACCCATGAGTTTGATTTTAAAGCCAGGGGAGCCTATGGGGGAAGGGAAGGAGGCTTTTACATTGAGGAACTGGTTCAGGAATGAGGAAGTCGATGGTTTTCTGTTTTCTCTGCTGGTCCCCGTAACCCTGGGAAAGAGGCCGTGTCTCTGCCTCTCCGTGCAAAGGTCACTGCGAGGTGCGAGGCCCTTGGATGCTGTGCAAAAGCCAATCACTTGTCTAATGTGGGTGTCCGTGCCCCATGTGAACAAAGATGCGACTAAATGCCCCTTGGAGAATTGGGGTCCTCCCTTTCCTATCCCAGCACCACCGTCCCTCATTAATTGCTCTGACCGTTTTTCTCTGTCCCCCCAGAACTGTACAGCTACACGGAGGAGCCCGAGTTTGTCGCCAACAGGAGGTGCTTTGAAGAGGATTTTCAAACTCAAGGTACGCCACTTCGGTGCGGGGTACGGCCTCTTGCCAGGACGGGGCCGACCCAGTGATGGACTCGCAAGGGACCTCCCTGCGGGCGAACTGTCTGCCAGGGTGCAGGGGCCGGCTCGTGTGCAGCACGGGTGACAGGATTGGGGCCGTACGTCGAGACCAGGCCATTGAGGTTGTAGTTCAAAGCGGGAGGTCTTGCTAATATCGACGGCTTATCCTGGCTCCCCTGACCCTCCCCAACGTTGCCACTTTTTGCGGTGAGGTCTGGAAAACCCTGCCAACCACAGCCAGGCTTTGGGGCCTCACTGATCACCGAGGAAAACTTTTCAGCTCCCCACTCTCCCTATTTATATGAGAGAGAGGAAGGATGGTCCAGTTCAGGCTGTCACTTGGGACTTGAGACCTGCATTCAGTTCCCACTTCTCCCCAGACTTCCTACGTGGCCCTCGGCGTGTCTGCCGCAGCCTCTGTGTTTCATATCCCCATCTGTAAAATGGGGACATTAGCACCACAGAGAGGTGTTATGTGACTCCTCGCACTAAAGATGCTGGGATGCTTGGATAGATACCAGCAGGGCAGACCCAGTTAAGAGCTTCATAAACTGGCCAGGCTTCACTAATGTTGGGCCCTGGGAGACTTCCAGAAGACGGGAAGAAAGTGAACGTTGTGCCAATACTGAAACGACCGTGGTGGATTCGTCTTCCCTGGACGTTTTTCAATAAAGATTGAATGCTGTTTCTAAAACAGATGCCGAAGTTCAGAGAGGATTTAATTCAGGGGAGTCCTGCGATTTGTTTTATACGGACTTCAGATTAGACCAGTGTTTCTCAGCCTTTTCTGACTCAAGACCCCCCCCTTGTTGGACTGGAGACACCCCTGGGAAAATGCCAGCTGTTGGCTTGCACTCACTCCTTGGCTCTGGAAAAACACTAGAGCAATTCTTGTGTTGCAAAAAACTCAGGTCACAGCAGATCAGGCTGGTTTTGATGCTGTGGATGCTTATTTGAAATCTCCGGGTTTATCTTGTGAATCATGCATGCACCTAACAGTGCTGATATTGTGCAGCTCGGTTCAGAAGATCTCACCGGACCCTAAAGTGTTGCAGCACCTTAGCTGAGAATTGCTAGAGGAAATAACCTCACCGGAGCAGTCCGTCCTTATCATGATTGTGGGAATAAACTACCCTCTACGAGTTCAATATTTTTTCCTGCGTGGAAGCTCAGCACACCTTTCATTTAAGGTTTCCTTGTTCTTCAAGGATGAATTCTCATCAGTAACCCCACAGCTTGGGTTGCTCTATCCCCATTTTGCTGATGAATGTGGGGAGATCTGATGTACAGAGAAAGGCAAGCATGTTTTCCAACCTCAGAGACTGTGTCAGGGTAGAGGTGGGAAGAAATCCCTGATGCTCCATGAACTGCCCTAAGCTACTGACTTTCTTTGCCACCTGCTGTGCCCAGAGTAGCTGCTAACAGTGGCAGGTGGTGCTTTTGCAGCTTTCAGATGGACCGGGAAGTTTGGGCTTTTTTTTCTCAAGATAAAAGTGCTGAGTTTTCTGGTGTGTGGAAACATCTGTGTGCCTTGCAGCTGACAACTCGGCCATCCTGCGTCCCTCAGACTACGAGCAAAGTGATGAGATTGCAAGATCAGTGGTTGGCAGTCCCTTGTGTGTCCCTGTGAGCCGGGTGTGTCAAATAGGAACAGCGTCCTGTGTTTTTAAAGGAGTGTGGTAAATTTGTCTATGGGCCAGGATAGGCAGCTGCGTCTCCAGCAAAAATGATTGCACTTGACTTCTGTCCTATCTGACACCCTTCCCTGGGATGTCAGAGAGGGCTTTGGACAGCATCCATGAAAGATTAGGGGACTGGTTAATTTGGAGCTGAGCTGGTCTCAGTGGTGGCAGATGACAGAGCAAGGAGCAATGGGCTCAAGTTGCAGCAAGGGAAGTTGAGGTTGGATATTAGGAAAAACTCTCTCACGAGGAGGGTAGTGAAGCAGTGGAACAGGTCACCCAGAGCGGTGGTGGACTCTCCATCCCTGGAGGTTTCTAAAGCCCAACTAGGCAAAGCCTTGGCTGGGATGATGTAGGTGGGGCTGGTCCTGCTTTGAGCAGGGGGCTGGACTAGACGTGACCTCCCGAGGTCCCTTCAACCCTCATTTCCTCTGATCCTATGAACCTGGATCCAGATTCACTCTGATTTGTTGTTTTCCAGTGCAGGGGAAGAGATGGCCAGACCTGGACACGGCACAGCAGAAGGCCTATGTGATGCGGCTGTTGGATGGGCTGGAGGTGGTGAACAGGGACAAGCGGCTGAAAGTAGCCCGGGCCATTCTTTATTTGGCACAAGGTAACTGCGGGCTCCCGCTAAATCGCTGCACTCGGTGTCATTCGCGCTGTCAGCCCTTTGCCAAGCTTTGGAGGAGCTTGTTTACCCCACTCTGCCGGCTGGCTCTGAAAGCGTGGATGCAGCTCAGGGGTACAGGTTGTAGCCGTGTCGGTCTAAGGGCATAAGCAGACCCAGTTCTTTGGGTAAATCTGGTATCTTTTATCAGACCGACTCAAACTCTGGATGTGTCTAAAGGATTCCTGTGCTCCCCATCCTCGGAGCGCAGAGGCAGACTGTGACACTGAAAGCCACGGCCAGTTCAGGTGCAGGACAGATAATGTATGAGAAATGAATGTCTCGGGTCCAGCTCTGTTACGGTGATAGGACATTAGGAACCGCTGCCTTATTCATTCCTGGCCTGAACCCAGCCTGTGTCAGGATAGACTAAGTTGTGACCCAGAGGCCGTTCAGTGGTTGAAGTACAAGGAGTTCGACACCCAGCCTCACCGTGACCCCAGCTCTGCAGGTCCCTCACCGCCCACGTGGATAGCTCTTCCTGGACTAGTCCCCTACATGTGGCTTCTCCCCTTCCTTAGTTTTGCTCTCTTCATTTTTCATGTCATGCATGGATTCACGTTATGCATGGAAATGCATCATGCCTGGGATACTGTCAACCCAATTCCTTCCCCACTTCCCCTTCCCCAGTACCAGGAGACCCACTGCTATATCTCATATGTGCCTTGGACCAGGGGTTGGCAACCTTTTGACCACATGGGCTCAAGCTTGCAACCCAGCCCCCTTCTGTGGGCCGCAGATCTTTCCCCCCCACCCCTGGGAACTCAAGCTGCCCGCACTTACCCTTGCTGCAGATACGCAGCAAGAGGGGGCGGTGGGGAGGGCTGCCGAGGAAGGGGCTATGGAGGAGATCAGTGCAACTCCCTGCCACCCGATTTCCCCCATGCTGCCCTGAACTGGGTTGGACTGTCTCAGACTGGACCAGGCCTATGAACCTTAAGTTGCTGACCCCTGCCTTAGACTGAGTTGAAACTTGAAGGGCTTTTCTTCCCTGGAGGCTCCCATTCAGGAAAACTTCTTTGCAGGGGCTTTGTCCCGTTGGTTTTTTGGAAAATCCAAATCCTGGGGCTGGAGGGGGATAAAAGGAATCGCGGGTTTGCAGTGCACACCAGCTGGTGTTTGCAAGGTTGGTGCTTACCGACTGCCTTGCTGGGGGCAGCTAAGCATTGAAGGGAGGCTGAGACTCGGCTCCACTTCAGTGTGGCCCCTCTGTGTTAGGAGGGCAGAAGCTTGCACCTTTGCTGCAGCTGGGCTGAAGGCGCCAGGCCTGCCCGTCCAGCTCCGTTCACTAGCACGAGACACACTTGAAAGCTGGTTTTCTTCTGCCTGTTTGCACTCTTTGGCTTTTGTGTCCCCCCAGGTGTGTTTGGAGAGTGCGATAATGAGCTGGACGTCCTGCACTGGTCTCGGCACAACAACTTCCTGCTGTACCACATGGGCATATTCACGGCCTTCCTGGAGCTGCTGAACATGGAGATAGAGTGAGCAGCTTCGCGTTCCCGGGTCGTGCCCTCCTTTCTATTATAAATGCATCCTGGATGCCCTGATTGGTTTTAGTGGCTTGGGTAAATGTCCTTATGGGAGCATTGTTGGGTTTTTTTTTTCCTGGTGTGAAGCTTGTCTTCCCAGCCGGCGCTGTGAAAAACGGCTGGTCCTCTGTAAGAAAAATACCTGCATGCATGTCAGTCTTGCTGTGAACCTTGCAGCTTCTCTGACTGGGAAGGATGAGCAGGGCTTTAACGACCTCTTTCACGGCCTCAAAAATAAGTCCATGCTCCTGAGCTGGCAGCTGTGCTCAGCGGCATCGAAGAACAGTTTTAAACGTTGTTCTTTCTAGTGTGGATGGGCCCAAAATATTCACTGCCCTGTTGGAGTAGTGGAGTCTCTCTGCATCCTGGATCCCAGGAGATTGACAGCAAACTCCTCTCCCCCTCTTTCTTCATTGCAGTAACAGCCAGGCCTGCAGCAGCGCCCTGCGGAAACCGGCCATCTCCTTGGCAGATAGCACGGAGCTCAGGTAACCTGCACTTTCACCCTGAGAACGCCGTGCTAGGACCTGCCCGCTTTTTCCTCAATATTGACCTAACCGAACAAGACTCGTTGGGTCCATTGCCCACAGCCCATCTTCCCCCACCCTTACCCAAAGCAGCAAGGAGGTCACTGGATTTTCTTGCTGTTTTTTCACACTTTAATATTCTCCAAGCTAAGCTTAACAAATGCTCCAGTGGTAACTGCTGTACCGAGGATAAATGAGGGGCTTTCCAAGCTGGCAGAGTCTGGGGGTGTGTTACTGTGGTTGCTTGTTCAGCTCCAGGGAGGGAAGAGAAAGATACCTCAGATTTTCTCCTGGCCCCTATTCCTTTTCTGACCATGGAGAGGGAGAGAATCAGCTTCAAGTCCATCAGTGCTTGTGAGAAGGTCGCCTTGGCATGAGGCATCAGTAAGGTTCAATGCGGAGACATGCATGGTCCTGCACTGAGGAGGGAGCAATCCCATGCACCGGTGCAGGCTTAGGACCAACTGGCTGGGCAGCAGCTCTGCAGAAAAGGACCAGGGGGTGACAGTGGACAAGAAGCTGGATAGATGTGAGCAGTGTGCCCTTGATGCGAAGAAGGCTAAATGACATCCTGGGCTGCAGTGTAGGAGCGTTGCCAGCAGATGGAGGGCAGTGATTCTTCCCCTCTATTCAGCACTGGGGAGGCCACATCCAGAGTCCTGTGTCCAGTTTTGGGCCCCCCACTACAGAAAGGATGTGGACAATTTGGAAAGAGTCCAGCAGAAGGCAATGAAAATGGTTGTGGGGACTGGGGGACAGGACTGGTGAGGGAGGCTGAGGAAACTGGGCTGATTTAGCCTGCAGAAGAGAAGACCAAGGGGGATTTGATAGCAGCCTTCACCTCCCTGCAGGGGGGCTGCAAAGAGGATGGAGCTGGGCTGGTCTCAGTGGGGGCAGATGACAGGACAAGGAGTAATGGGCTCATGTTGCAACAAGGGAGGTTTAGGTTGGATATTAGGAAAAATTCTCACAAGGAGGGTAGTAAAACACTGGAACAGGTCACCTAGCAAGGCTGTGGGCTCTCCGTCCTTGGAAGTTTTTAAGACCCAGGCTGGAATGATGCAGTTGGGGCTGGTCCTGCTTTGAGCAGGGGGTTGGACCAGATGTGACCTCCCGAGGTCCCTCCCACCATCATTTTCTATGTTGCTGTGAATCCTGAAGTCAGGGGTGGCTGAGACTGGAGGCGGACTTTGGGCGGCCTCATGAACGGTTTTCTCTGCTGCGCTCTGCCCAGAGTGCTGCTCAGCGTCATGTACCTGATGATCGAGAACATCCGCGTGGAGCTGGAGACGGACTCACCCGAGTGGAAAACGTCCCGAGAGGCGTTCAAAACGGAGCTGAGTGAGTCGGTGGATGCTTGTTTTCCCTTTCCCGCATGATTTTGATGAGACAAGTACAGTCCTGTCTGCCTCGTGGCCCATTGCTCTAATGGCCTTGTAGCTGTAGCTATAAAGCCAGAGGTGGCAAACTGCTATACGATACAGGGAACCCTACTTATTGCTTTAGCCAAAACTTGGTTTGACCTTTGACCAAGAGACTCGGGGGACAGAGTGATTAAGGACAGCAGATCCAAAGACCCTGCTGCCATAAGCAAACCATATGCAGAGGCCCCTCAAGCTGTATAGTTTCATCAGTGAGCATTTGGGAGCAAGGCAAATTATTTTTGTCTTAAGCTTCTTTGGTTTTTGGTCCTCCCCCACCCCAGGTTTTCCTGTGCACAGTGAAGAACCGTTTGCTCTCCTGCTTTTCACCATGGTGATCAAGTTCTGCAGCGGGCATGCTCCGCACTTCCCCATGAAGAAAGTCCTGCTCTTGCTTTGGAAGGTGCTGCTGGTGAGTGCCGTCCTTTCTCTTTCCAAGACTCAGATACACCGAGGAAGGTTGTATCCTGGGAAGATGCCACGTGGGCTCTCTTTGCCATTTAATCCGACTTTGTAGAGGTCCCAGTATTGAAGGCCCATCACCAAAGCATCACTGTGACATATTTTATAGTGCTTTTTTTAACTCTGTCATTAAGGGGGAAGTAATCCTGCGCTGGCCAGGAGGGTATAGTGCGAGATACTTGATTCGTCCCATGTCCTGGTTTTAGTTACTTTGTCACCTGGCCTTTGCAGCACACGAGATTGTGAGAGAGAAGAATCGGTGTAGGATGAATACAGGGTGAGCAACAGGTTGTTTGGGGATGTATAAAGAAATCTAGACAGAATTAATGAATAAAGGGGAGGCTTCATCCAGCGCTGCTGCTCCCCAGCCAGCGCTCACGGGGGGGGGGGCACTGGTGCTTCCACCTGTCCCCCGACCCATCATCTAAGTGGAGAGCGCAGCCTGTCAGGGGGTCGCCACTGGTAGCTACACACATCTGTTTGGTCTTTTCCAGTTCGGTGGTCTCTGTTTTAAATTTCTGCCCAGGCTTTTGGGGAAAAATAACGGTTTGCTTCACTTCTTTCTTCTTTCTCTTGTGTCTCACTTGCTGGGCCGCAGTTCACCCTGGGTGGATTTGAAGCTCTCCAGGTGATGAAGATGAAGAAGCGGGAGGACCTGTGCTTGCCCCCTCTGCCGGAGGACAGCATCCAAGTGATGCGCAGCATGCGGGCTGCCTCGCCTCCCACCTGCTCCATCGAACTCATCGAACAGCAGCAGCAGAAGCGTGGCCACCGGAGCAGGCGGGTAAGAACCTCTTGGCACCTGGCGCGTGACGGTCCTGTGCAGCATCTGTCCTATTGGGGTATCTGCGTGTTGGGTAGCACCCTTTCCCTCCCCAGGTAGAGGGGTAAATGGCAATCAGCTGTATCCTGGAATTGTCTTGTTTGATTTCTTACTAAGGAAACATCCCAAACTTCAAGTCACTCTGGGAGAGAGAGTAAGCTTTGGGCCAGAAAATTGGTCTTCAGCCGTTGGTCTGGTAGGGTTGTGTGATCAGAGGATCCAAAGTTTGTATCCCGCTATGGGACCGATGCTGACCAAAGCCAAAAAAGTCAGACTCTGAAGAAAGAAAATATCTCCCATCTCCTGAATAGGGAGCAAGCGCAGAACCCAAGGGGTTCCCCTTTATAAATGTAGGGAGGATGCTTTTTGTCCAAGCCGAGATGCCAACTAAAGTGATGGGTCAAAATCCTGGAAGGAAGTGCTTGGATAGGAAACACTTCCAGGTTCAGGAAGTGATCTGGACTGTGTGTTTCTCCTCTGTTTCCACATATTGCAGCCCCTCATGAAACAAGACAGCTTGGACATCTACAACGAGAGGGACCCGTTCAAGAACGATGAGGCCGGAGTGGATGAAGAAGAAAACGATGATGTGGACAGTGGGATCGAGGGCGAGCTGGACCTGATGGAGCGGGATGCGATCATCCAGGCTTTGCCAGCTCAGCGCCCACCCATTGAGCGGGTGTGTTTCCCCAAAGGACTTCCGTGGGCACCCAAAGTCAGGTATATCCAGACGGTTTCTTTGTCATCTTCTCCTGCCCCGGCAATCTTGATATTGAAACCAGTTGTGGGTTGAATGTCAGCCAGGTACAGGTTGAACTAGAGAGAACCCTTTCCTTTTCTCCACTTGGCTTCTCTTGCACCAGCTGTGATTGTGCTCTTCCCCTGACCTCACCAGCCAGATACGGCCAAGCTGGATGTCTAACTGGATAGGAGTAGGAGAAAGTAGTGTTGTCTGTGTATGGTGTCCCATGCCCAAGAACCTTTGGGAGAAAAGGAAGAGAAGCTTTGTCATTAGCATTGATGACAGAGAGCTGGGCATGTCCTTGACTGTGACCTTGGGAAACGGTTGTAAGAGCTGTTTAATTAAATTCTCTAATTTATTTAATGAGTCTCTTGCCTACCCAGTTGATGAGCATTGTTCAGTGGTACTGCTGTGATCCAAAAACTGGAAGAACCCCAACTGAGGTGCCTCTTTCAGTAATGCTAAAACCAGATACGAAGGGCTGTTGTTACGTGCAGCCACTGAAGTGCTGGCCTGGCTGAATGTCATTGTGCATTTTAACATTGGTTTCAGTGAGGCCAGCGTTTGATCCAATGACTTTAAAATGGTGGGGCACATGCACTTCTCCGGTTTGGAAGCAACGCAAAGGCTAAGCTGTTTAGCCGGACTAGCTGAGCTTCCGTCTCAAGTCTGTTAACTGCATTTTGGGTTAAAAGCAGGCAGGAGCCTGTTTCTAAAATAGGACTTAAACGTCTGTTTCTGCCTAAGCCACATATTCTCCCAACTTTCAAGTCAAATAGTGATCATTTTGTTGGGGAAAGGAGGGGAAAATATGGAAATTCAGGTGGGTTCTTTCTGCCCCTTGCAACCGGACCTCCTAGTCAGGATTATTCTAGTGGCACCAAGATCCAAGCTGTCAGACAGCAGCAGAGGACACCTCTGCTGTCTCCCGTAGCTGCGTAGCCATTTCAGGGCTAATGGGGCGAGGTTGTGTGTCCTTTTCAAGGACACTGCAGGGAACTGATAGATTGTAAAAAAAAAAAAACAAAACAAAACATTAGTTGTACAAACTCACTCTATGGATCAGACAGATCTATGCTTTGAATTATTCTGGAGGGTTACAATAAATCCAGATCATTTTGTTTGCATTGTTTCTGAAGCAATGTGAACTCTGTAGCTGTCAGACACCCTCCGAGTGGTATGGGAGAGGCAGACGGTGCATGTTGAGTCCATGTTGTTCAGTTTCTAAGCAATCTGGATCCTGATGGGACGGTTCTGATGTGCATTTTGTTTTTCCCCTCTCCTCTTTGCCGGTCTATCAGACAGAAGGACATTGAGCATTTCCTGGAAGCAAGCAGGCACAAGTTCATTGGATTTACACTGGGGCAGTAAGTATTGTGGGTTGGGGAAAATAGAGCTGGTTTAGGAACAAATCCTGTCTTAATTCCTGCCATTGAACCAACACCTGGCTGCTGGGAGCTGCTAGTGCTTGGAGCTTCAGTGTTCTCGAGTCAGCCGGTCGAATGCATGCTTAGGAGAGCACCTAAGAGATCCCAGTTAGTGTCGGGATGTCATTGTACCCAGCATTTTAGAGGTGTGGGCTAAGAGGCAGATCGTGCTCCAAACACCTCACAGTCTAATAGAAGAAGTAGAGCACGTGGGATAAACTGACATCTGGTGTAAGCCAGAGGTCTTCATGAGGACTGGTAAGCGCCTTGGTATTCTGCAGATTTGTGGGGTGCTTTTGTTTCTCTTTCTTTTAATGAGGGAATGGAGGGAATACGGGAAGAGTCGCGGAGGACGGACAGGTGGGGAGGTGGCAGAGCAGTCCAAAGGAAGGAGAAACACAGCAGAAGGGTTGACTTGCTATCCGGGCTGGGTCCATGGTCTTGAATCATAGACAATGAGGGTTGGAAGGGAGCTCAGGAAGCAGCATCTAGTCCAACCCCCTGCTCCAAGCAGGACCAGCCCCAACTAGATCCTCCCAGCCACAGCCTTGTCTAGTTGAGCCTTAGAAACCTCTAAGGATGGAGAGCCCACCGCCTCTCTGGGTAACCTGTTCCAATCCTTTATGCCTCCCCTAGTGAGACAGGTTTTTTCCTTTATATCTAACCTCAACTTCCCTTGTTGCAACGTGAGCCCATTGCTCCTTGCCCCCACTGAGACCAGTCCAGCTCCATCCTCTTTGCAGCCCCCCTGCAGGGAGGTGAAGGCAGCTATTCAATCCCCATCAGTCTTCTCTTCTCCACACTAAATAAGCCCAATTCCCTCAGCCTCTCCTCACCAGTCATGTGCCCCAGCCCCTGGACCATTTTTGTTAATTGTTGTCAACCCCCAAGGTAGGGGAGAGCACCACCTCCCTTGGAGCCCATTCCAGAGTCTGGCAGCCCTCACCATGTTGCTAAGCTGTATCTTCTGGTCCTGAATGGCATGAAATACTTTTATGTAATAACTAGATGTCATATGAAGACATGCAGACAGGTCAGTGACATAGCCCTCTCCCACCCGGGTCAGGAACGAACCAGTGGAGCTCTGCAGAGTAGAGCTGGCGACTGCCCTTCCTTTTCCCCTTGTCTGAGTCGCTGTTATCTTGTGTCTCAGTAACACAGGTCAGAATTTCAGCCTGCATTTAGCTTATGTTCACACATTTAAACATCTCCTCTTGTTGAGGTCCCAACACATCTGGATTTTGCTCACCTGACAAGTTCCTTTCCTGGTTTTACTCTGAAGGGAAACATGTTTAAATCTACATTTTCTCACCAAGTTTGTACTTCTCATCTTTCTTTCCCTCCTTCAGGGACACAGAAACCCTAATTGGGTTACCACGGCCCATCCATGAAAGTGTGAAGACTTTAAAGCAGGTAATACAATGGCTCTTCACCTTCAGCCTTTTTGACCCAGCCTGTGGGATGGGAAGCTGCTTGAATGTCTTGCACTGTTATAACTTTTCCCATTTAGTAAGTTCAGCAATACTGAGATGCCAGCCATCTTTTGGGGTGAGAACTGGTGCACAGTTCAGTCCCAACTGGATACAGCGCCCTTCATCTATCCCCCTTATCTTGTGTGGAGCGCTCCAGAGGTGTCTGCACTTCAACGTTAACTGAAATGATGTTTGTGAACATGCAATGGGGGATGCACTTCAAGGTTATAGGAGTTTCCAAAAGGGGAGGTGGAGTCTCTCAGCTGTGAGGAACTCTCCTGGCATCGCCTGTAAATCTAACCCGAATATCTCTGCTCCGTTTGGGAAGGTGAGGGGGATCAGCATTTTTCATTGCACATAGTGTCTCTTCGTTTCAGTCATAGTGTTACTCTGCTTCTGTTCATGTCTTTTGCCAGCATAAATATGTCTCTATCTCGGATATACAAATCAAGAATGAAGAAGAGCTAGAGAAGTGTCCCATGTCTTTGGTAAGAAACCACCACCCTCCTTCTTTGCTGGATGGATGTATGGGTGGGTTTCTAAGGACTGTGTTACTGTTGCTTAACCTCCTTACCACGGCATGAATGTGCTGCATGTGTCCATACCAGGACTGATTGGAGGTGACATGAGTCTAGAAAGCGGGGCTTCCTTTGGGACCCTGCCAGGGGCCTCAGGGCCAGAGCAAATTTGCCTGTTATAGAATTGAGAACAACCACTCTCCTCTTGGAAACAGTTGACCATTTCGATATAAGGATATAACTTGCAACAGCTACAGGTGCCAAGATGCAGTGCCTAAGTGACCTGGCTACTCAAGATGGTGCGTTGTCAGCTGAAGCCCACAGTTGATGCAGGCTGTACTTTTGTATGAAAGATGACAGCTGCATCATCGACTCTGCCGATTTTTCCTTTGATTCTCAGGACATACTTTGGCTATCCAGGTTTTAAGGCAAAAACCTGCTCAGAATTTGTTCCCAATCATACTTGCCAGAGCAGGCATACTGATAAGCCTGGCAACATCCTGATAGAAGTGTGGGGAATGGCTTCTTTTTTTTGCGCTTCCTTGAAGTGGACTTTGTGCCTGTCCAGCATGTCTTGGTTGTTTGGTTGAATTACAGCTTTTTCCCCCTCCTTGTACCCAATGTCTGTCTCATTCCAGGGGGAAGAGGAGGTTCAGGAGACCGCTTGTGAGATCCTGTATCAGGCGATGTTATACAATCTTCCCCAGTATATGGTAAGGCTGTATTTTTTTCCAGAAGTGCATGAGTCAGGAGCTCACTGCCTAGAAAATTAGCATTGAAAGGGACCTCAGGAGGTCACATCTAGTCCAAGCCCCTGCTCCAAGCAGGACCAGACCCAACTACAACATCCCAGACAAGGCTTTGTCTAGCCAGGTCTTAAACCTTCAAGGATGGAGAGTCTACCACCTCTGGGTAACCTGTCCCAGTGCTTCACCACCCTCCTCGTGAGAAAATTCTTCCTAATATCCAACCTCAACTTCCCTTGCTGCAACTGGAGCCCATTGCTCCTTATCCTGTCATCTCCCTCCACTGAGACCAGTCCAGCTCCATCCTCTTTGCAACCCCCCTGCAGGGAGCTGAAGGCTGCTATCAAATCCCCCCTCAATCTTCTCTTCTCCAGTCTGAATAAGCCCAGTTCCCACAACTTCTCCTCGTAAGTAGGACCGAGAGCCCTGGAGTTTATTTAGGAGATTGTCACATCAGGCATCCTTCTAAATATGCTTCAGCTCTGACCTAGAGGGGCCACCTCTGAGGGTAAAAAGGAGTATGGAGCCATTCAGCTCCTATCGTCTCTGCTGAGGCTACTGTAGGGCCACCAGGATTGTGGTTTGCGAGAAGGACAACTAATCATGCCAGGAAATAGGTTTTAATGCACTGAGCTCTAATGTGCCTTCATATGGGCTGCAGCCTGGTAGCCACGTCAGGCTGAGTCTGACCAGGGAGCCTTTCTGTGAAAAGGTCTGCAAGCCATTGGCAGTTCCCAGAATCATGCTGCCTTCCTTGCAGGGGAGCGACAAAGAGATCTACTGCCGCTCCACTGGTTTCATAAGGAATGGAGCTTGTGTCCTGCAGTATTAGCAGTATCTGAGCTCTTCAGGCTGCAGGTCCATCTGGTCAGCTAAAAGGGACCCTCTTGCTCCTCTTGAGCTGTTGTACAGTGAAATTTCTGTCCCTCTATAGATCGCTTTGCTGAAGATCCTCCTGGCTGCAGCTCCCACCTCCAAAGCCAAGACTGACTCTATCAATATCCTGGCAGATGTGTTGCCCGAGGAGATGCCGTAAGTGCATGAGGGGGAGGCAGCTGTTTCAGCAGCAGTGGTAGGTGATGGTAGCGATCTGGGGCTTAGAGACAGGCAGAGATTTCCAGTTTCTGAGACCAGGCAGGGCCTACACATGAGAGGAGTTACTGTCTCCATGGAAGTGTCTGCTTTTTCTCTGGACCTTCAACCTTTTCAGCACTCAGGCTGCGCCACTTCTGCCCTTGTGCCTTGTTAACTTGAATGGCTATGTTACACTATGACTGGAAGAAGCAGCCCGTGCTAATTCACCTGTCCCGAGTTGGAAAGGAAGTGTCTTGTGGCTAGAATACAGCACAAGAGAAAAGACTGCTCGTGGCCAGATGTCAAAATACCAGTAAGCAAAAGGAAGAAAGCTTGTTATTATTCAACATGCATTTTTCTCCCCTCTTAAGAGTCCCTTTCATTGCAGTTTAACTCCTGTAGCAAACTGCTCCCGAAACGCTCTTCAGACAGGGCAGTCAGTCTCTTCTATAGTCCGCTTTAGTGGTGCTGATCTGTATGTGGAAGCAGGAGTCCGTGACTATCAGCAAAGGCAGCCTTTCTGTAGAAAGAGTGAGTTCAGGGAAACGATAAATATGACACTCCAGCCCACTGCTGCTACTCGTACATGGTTTTCTCCCATTCCGTCCTCTTTTTCTTCCAAACCAGAATTACAGTTCTTCAGAGCATGAAATTGGGGATTGATGTGAACAGACACAAAGAGATCATTGTGAAGAGCATTTCAGCCTTGCTGCTGCTGCTGTTGAAACATTTCAAACTGAACCACATCTACCAGGTGGGTTTTATCCAATGCTAAGTGTATGACAAATATAGATTCATTCTGGTTAGTCTCTCTTGAGAAACCTCCTTTTAGCACCGTTCCCCTGTGAACAGCTGCTGGCTGGTTTTTGACAGAGATGAGTTTTAGCCACAAGGTATAACTTCATTAGTGGTACGGCACTGGATAATGTCTTGGACTGTGTTTTTTCTGAGGTCACTTCCACAAGGCAATACCTCCAATCTCATTACAAACCCCAGTGTGAATATTTCACTTTGAATCCCTGTATAACAAGCCTGAAGAGATGGCATCTCTGCCAGAAATGGGAAAGGGATAGGAGGCTAGACAGACCTCTCTTAGGCTTTGTCTACACTACAGTTACACTGGGGAGAATTAGTTACAACAGTCCTAACTACGTTTTAGCTTTGTTTGGCTTTGTGTATAAATTGGGCCAAAACGTGTCGTAACCATGTTAAAAGGTTCCCTTATTACCAATGCTGTTTAAATATTCGATTAGGCTGTAGCCTGGCCACGTACTGAAGCACTCTGCATACCAGATGTTTATTGGTTTCCTTCTTTAGAAAGCTTCCCACATGCACAGTTCCAGCATCTAGCCTGCAGCATGGTCCACCTTGTTTTATTATGAACATTAATGTGCTGCATCTTATGATCCGGCTCCTCTCTACAGCGAGTCCCTTGTGCCCCCTTACTGTGTTGCTACTTGTTCCCCTCTCTCATCCGGGCACAGAAGGTCATGTTCTCATTTGTCTGCCTTCGCTGTGCTGTGAGACTGCATGTTATTGGGCCATCACAGAGACAGGATCTAAGGGGCTCCTGGGTTCAGAGCTTGTATTTTGTTTAGCCATAGAGGAGTCACTCGATTGCCTTTTGCATCATCCACATCTGGAAAGCCAGGACATCTCTGCAAACCAGAGCAGAAACTTCCACAGCAATTAAATGCACTTAAAACTAAAAGGTCCAGATTTTTGTCCTGGCTCTAGGTTAAAGAACCCATTAAGGTTTGTTTAAATGCAGCGTCCAGCACCTAAGATCAGATTGAGTCACATGTGTGACTGATGAGCTGGATACAAGGCAAGGGCTTTGTAGAGTGCAACAGACTGCTGTGGCGTTTGGGCCACAAAGGTGGTACAAGAGCCGGGCCACTGTAAAGGGAATATCCCTTGGCCCTGGATATCTTCACTCTGCTTGTGACTGATCAGCAAACAGTAGATCAACCACATGTGTGAAACGAGTCTGTTCAGGTTTCCAGTGTGCTCAGCCTGCTAGCTGATGGCCAGAAGGTAGATGGGACATGGTCTTTTTGAGGGGATTCTCCCAGCCGTCCCCCTTTTGCTTCTCCCTCCAGTTAATGTGGCGGAGGCTGCAAAAGAGACCGGCAGTTCTGCTAGATGAGTAAAAGGGAGCGTCTCTTCGTTAAGTCTGTAAGGATCCTGTAGCGTTTCCTTCAGCTGTTGATCACTCCGCGTTCTTGCATTGCATTTTTCTCCAGGGCTACCCCTGTCCTTTACCGTGGAGGCTGGGGCAGGAGTCTGAAGGCCCTAGCTCTGCTTTGGGCTCTGCTGACTTGCTGTATGACCCTGGGATAAGTCCCTTGTGTCTTGGATGTCCTTCTCTGAGAAACGGAGTCATCGGGGGAGACCGAGATACAGACAGGGATGAATACAGCAATGCTTATAAAGCTCTTTAGGATGCTAGCTCCTGGTATCTGAACACCCGCGTAGTCATGGCACTTGAAATGCTAAGGTTGAGATGGGCTAAGCATTCTTTGCATATAAATCGCCACTTCCCCAAATTAGCAGTAATTTAGCACTGAAAACGGGTTTTAAAAAAATAAAAGAGTATTTCTTGACTTTGATAAATTGTGGGTTAGAAGATGACACAGCTGGGATAAGCAGAGGAATGCCTCTTTTTGTTATATTTGGTACAATAGAGCTTTGTTGTATTCTTTACAAGCTACATTTCTAGGACACTGAAGGTTACGGTTTAACAGGGAGAGAGAAATGCAAAAGCAGGTACAAAAGAAATATTACTATGTTTCTCAGTAAAGGGATGGAGCTAACACTTCACGGAAAGGAAAAAAATAAGGTATTGCAAAGGGCTGGCACAACAGATGAGGTGGCATTTTACCCCACAGTTACAGGGATTACTGGTAAAGGGCAAAATGGGAAGCATAGGAGAAGGAGGTCTGTGAGACCAGCTGGAGCATCTGCTGTAAAACCCAGAAAACCTTCTTTGTGTTCAGTTTTTTCCCCTCCCATTAATGCCATGTGTTCACCTCTTTCTTTCAGTTTGAGTATGTGTCCCAGCACTTGGTGTTTGCCAACTGCATCCCGCTGATCCTGAAGTTCTTCAACCAGAATATCATGTCCTATATCACTGCCAAAAACAGGTATAGCCCGTTTTGTAGCAGTGCCTTTTCCTCCGGGGACATTGGCAAGTTACAGCTTTGCGTACGAAGAGAACGCAGCGTGAGGGCGGTGAAACAGCTGTAAGGGGTTATGGTCTAGGTTGGACGAGGCATTAAATGATCTGCCGGAGGGAAACACTCTGGTGCTGGCTAGAGTGATCTCCTGGGCCTCTCTTACCTTCTGAACCTATTATTCATCTCTCCTGCCTTTGACCACTGGGTTTTAAATACCTGCAAGAATGTTTCTACACTTTTGCTGGCTGACAGGGTCTTTAAGTAGGAAGACTTTTATGCTGCTTTGTGCCTTGAGACACTGAGCTTGTTAGTTAAATCCCTGTACACCACTTCTGGACATGTGCATGATACAGCATGGGGAATAAAAGGTTAAGACTACATATGCATATGATATGATCCTTCTGCAAAAGCCCGAATCTCAACTTCTATACTCACCTGTTAGCACCTGGAAACAGGAGACAGTTGGTAGTTTCGGCTTATTATAAGCACACCTAAAGGTCAGTGACATGCACGATATTTATGGCAGAACGGTAGGCAATATTTTTCTCTTGGGGACCCCAAGAGAAGGGTCAGGACAGGATTTTTTATTGCTCTTCAGTTGGTTATATGAGCTAGCCTCTTGCGTTGTTTGTGGATAGATATGAAATGAAAAGAAATAGGTTAATGTTCTTCTCTCTGCTGAGACAGCTGAAGATGGAAAGCCACTGTCTTTACAGAACTGAGTAATTAAAGACTGTTTCTTTACTATTTGGACTCCATTCTTTTAAAGAACCAGAAATCATAGGTGAAACGCAATAAACATAATGTTAACCTCTGAACAGTTCAAATCCCAGTTTTCTGCTGTTAGTTAAAAATCACAAACGTGTGTAGGCATTTGGCATGGGGTTTGTGGTCTCCAGTGTTTCACCTCCTCCTTCCCTCCCCCTACACCCAGTGAATTGATGTTAAGTCAGATATTGGTGACTAATGTACAGTATCTCTTTCTAAAAATGTGTTCTCTTCATGACTTCGTTAGCCCGTATCTGTTCTATTATTACACAAATGTAAACCTGGAGTAATACTAGTATAGTGCACTGATTTTTCATGGAGTGACTCGCCCATAAGTTTGTCTGTCAGGGGGAGGGGAGCTGCATGCACGCGCATGTGTGTGTGTGTGAGTGTGTGTGCATGCTCATGCACATATATTAGAATGATGAAAAATACATGTTTCTATGTCTTTCCTTCACTATTACCAAAATCTTATTTTCCCATTGGGTCTGCAAACCTTAAAACATTGTCCTTGGACATGGAACATGTCATTCTTTTAAGTCTCCTTCATGAACTAGTGGTGTGAACCCTGCGACAAAAGTACTTCAGGGGCAAACATAAATCCAAGCACATTTTGTTATATATTGAGCCTGAAATTTACCACCTGGACCCCTCCCTATTTTTAAGTGGTAAAACAGCAAGTTAGTAATGTAGATCACGAACCACTGAACATGGATAGGAACATCAGGGAATACAATCATCAGGGAACAAGCAGGAGGTTTAAATGAACTTGCTAGACTATGTACAGTAAGTAACATTGGTTTATAGGGTCTTTTAGTCTTGGAATTTTCTGCTGAATTTGCACTGGCTCAGTCATAGTTACAGCAATTCAGTTATTTTAAATATTCCTGGATATAAAAGCATCAAAAGGTAAGGGGATAGAAAGAATCACAAGAATTATATGATTTACCCATTTTGGGGATGTGCATGTCTTCCAGAAGGTGATCAATACTCTTATTCTTCCTCGTGGGCTAATGATATAAAAGTGATAGGTTCTATAGGGGTGGTAGCAAAGTCTGCTTCCTTCCCTTCAAGTTTCCCTGATGTTATCAGTTTGCCCAATCTCTTATTTTAACCTAAGGTTGGGGGGAGAGGGGGTTGTTTGGGTTTTTTTAAAGCTAGTATGTCTTGGCTTAATGGATCTGGGTCCCTTGAGTCATTATTAGAGCACTCAAGATATGCTTTAGAGAAATAACTGATCCATTAGCAGAGGCACAGACTCACGAGATAGTTTGTGCAACTCTGAAAAGGCAGGTGCCTCTGAAACCTTCTGATAAGGTGTGGTTCAGCCTCTGAAAATGTTTGCAAAGCCCTGGCTGAATTTAAAACAACAGCTGACTTCCTGGGCATGTCCCATAACTCAGCAGCCTGTCCCAGTTGCTCAGTCCTGTCCATGCCAGCTGTAATTAATCGGTGCGCTGGGAATGGAGATCTTAGGGGTGATTGAAAAATGTAACATAATGATTTTAAAAGAGCTGTTTTTAATACTGATGTGCTGCCTAATGACCATCCCCTATTCTCTGTCTCCTACAGCATCTCTGTCCTGGATTATCCATACTGTATTGTCCATGACCTGCCTGAGCTCACAGCAGAAAGCCTGGTAAGGAGAGTGGAAATAATCCTCGTTACAGATGTTGCAGTAGGTCTGTATTTGATGGAGCGGAAGAAGGACTGTTTTCCTGTCTCTTTTCCTTCCTACCCTCATCCCTTCTAAAGTAAACTTTTTTTTCAGTATTTAAACTCCTCACCACCACCATCCATCCTTCTCTATCCCGGCTCCTGATCTGCTGTTGGATTGGGGGATCTGGTGTGTCCTACAGTATAGTGCCAGCCAGACTTCCCTGCCAGTTTTTCTCTTGGTTCGGTACGAGCATTTTGTAAGATGCTGCTCAGAATAAGAGGGTAAAACAGCTGTTCTTTCCTTAAGGCTCTTAGTCTGAACATTTGCAGGCTGCCCCATCTACCTGGGTTCTGTACATACCATACTATGATGAAGCATCATGAGAGATTTGCAGCCACAGTCACTTCAAATATACCCTGAGGAGTCATTTAGGCTCCAAAGTTGATGGCCTTTAACCCTCGAAACACAGAAGGTGGCTTATTGGATAAAGGAATTGTGAACTCAGTGATGGGCAGGTGAGGAAAGTGGAAGAATTTCTGGTGTTGAGGAGTAGAGCGGGTTTCTTTTCTTGCAGCACTCCCTGCGTCCCTTGCTTTCCAAACCCTTTGGGGATTCAGTCTGTCACCTTGAATCTGCTCTGCATTGTCATAGTTAGCATTATCAGGGAAGAAAAAAAGCATTCTCTGGACCGAAATATCACATCCTGCTTTTGAATGCCTCTGCTATGCAAACATCAGAGTACGTGAGCACTTAATAGTAAACTCTCCCCTCTTAACATCTAATGAGTTTTAAATGCATCTGGCAGGTATTATGGTCTGGAGGGCGGATAGATAGCCACCTCAGATAGATAGCCACCTGGCTGAGCCAACCGAAGAACAGTACATCCTACATCTGTGTCGGATAGGTGACTTTTGAGGTCCTTTCCAACTTGGTTTCTGTGGTGCAAAAGCAAACGGCCACTGTTGGTATAGGACTCAAAGAGCTGAAGCTGTTGCTGCAATGCAAAAAAAGGAATACAAGGGAATAACAGTGTTCTCAAGCCTGTGCTGCACAGCCGTTGCTCACGCTCAAGCATAAATTAAGAAGTTGGCAGATGGAGCTAAAATAATTACATGCTTCACCTAAAGTGCAGGTGAAAACGAAAAGAAAGTCTGTCTTGAATGGAAGACCGATATCATGAACAGTCCAACTTTTTAAAGAAAAAAATGAAGACTGTAAGCAATTAACAGCATTTAAATGAAACTTTTTCACAATGGGCCAGACTTTGTGTGTGTGAATGGAGCCAGCCCTGAGCTACCTCCGTTTCACTTTGTTTGGGTTATCAGTGACACCTAGTGGTGAAATCTTCTCATTCCTGCCGGTTTTGTTCATTTCCGTTTAAAGTGCCGTGGAACGCTGTGGAAATATTACAGGACTGTCCCTCCAGCCTCCCCGACAGTGGACAGGAATGTTATCCGTCCTGGATATGTGGAGATGCCAAACAACATAGAGTTTCATAGACATTAGGGCTGGAAGGGACTTCACAAGATCATCAGGTCCAGCCCCCCTGTCCAAGGGGCAGGAAGTCAGCTGGGGTCAAAGGATCCCGGCAGAACAAGCATCCAAATGTTTCTTGAAAGTGTCTAGAGTCGGTGCTTGCACCACCTCCGGGGGGAGTTTGTTCCAGGGCCTGGGGACTCGGACAGTAAAGAGGTTTTTCCTTATGTCCAGCCTAAAACAATCTTCGAGGAGTTTGTGAGTGTTGGACCTTGTCATCACTTGGGGTGCCCTGGCAAACAGATGTTCCCCCAGATCCTGATGCACACCCCTTAGTCTTGTGTACTTGGCTGCCACCAAGTCACCCCTGAGCCTCCGTTCCTCCAGGCGCAAGAGTCCCATGTCCCTCAGCCTTTCCTCATAAGGCCTGTTCTCCTGCCCCCTGATCATGCGCATGGCTCTCCTCTTTCAAGCTTCTCTGCATCATTTCTGAATTGTGGGGCCCAGAACTGGGTGCAGTACTCCAGCTGTAGCCTCACCAAGGCTGAGTACAGCGGGAGGATGACTTCCTGGGTCTTGTTTGAGATGGGTCAGTAGATGCAAGCCAGAGTTTTGTTTGCTTTGCCGGCTGCAGTATCGCGTTGGTGGCTCATGTTCAACTTGTGGTCAGACATGACCCCCAAGTTTATTGCCTTGGAATTCAAGGTCTTTTGGCACTCAGTCACAAACTCAGCCCACTGGACCAAACCATTTCCTGCAGCTATTCCAGTACTTTACCATCAGTAGCTAACTGCTGGACACCATCTGTCAACAGTTGTAGTGATATATAGTCAGGTGCAGATGAAGGGACATGTTTGAGCTGTGGTTACAGATGCAGTCTATTTTCAGGGATCTCCCTTCCTTCCCCACTCCCCACCCCTGAAAACTTACAGCTCCAATATCAACAATATATAATTAAAGTTGATATCCATGGGGCAGACAGAGCACAATCTCCATTTCTGGTAAGATGACCAACTTTAGAAAAGGAGATGAGATAAAAAGGGCCTAAAGAAAGTAACATTAGATGCTATGAAGAAAGTCAGCAATAAACTCTCAGAATGCATCTATAATGTTGACAGGAAGGGAATTTGGAAGACAGCAACCAAACCATTTCTAGTTCATGGCAAGTTTTTGAGAGACTAAGCCACACAAGTCCCTTCAAAAGTCAGAAATCTAACTAGTGAAGTCAATAAATAGTAGCATAAATTACAGCAGTTGTTAAGGAGGATGGAACTCAAAGGGCAAATATCTAATGCTATAAAAACAAGGAAAAAGAGATTCTTTAAGCATTTCAGAAGCAGAGGATTCACTGGATCAATGAAGTTAAAGGAAATGGATGCAGGAAGATAAGGATGTTGCTAAAAAGCTAATTGATTTCCTTGCATGGGTTTTCACTGCTGAGGACGCTGGGGAGAATACAGTTCTGGACCTTCTCTTTTCTGGCAATAAGGATGAGGTACCCTCTTTGCCAAAAGAAGCGGCGCTGATTGAAATGCAGCGTGTCACCCGGCCATCCAAGAGTCTGAAGGAGCTTGACTGTGAAGTAGATGAGCTGCAAACAATGATGTCTAAGCTTTCCTTTAAAAAACAAAAGTCATTATTATAAAAGACTTGGCAAATCTTTACTCAGACTTTTTAAAGATCCTAGTGGCAATCTGAGAAAATAGCGCACCTAGCAAATGCATTAAATCAATCATTTAAAAACAGAATAGCAAAAGCCCTGAAAGGCCATGAACTGACAGGGTCTTACTAGCGTGGATTCAGGAAAGGTAAAGTCATGTGTCATTAATCTCATATTACGTTTTGCCGTGAATATGTATGTAATATACTGGAAGAAGAAGAGCCAGTGGATAGAACTTCTACAATCATTTCTCCTATGCCTGAGGCAAGGAGCTTGTGCCTGAAAGCTTGCAATTAGAAACATTCTTTTTTTTTGCAAAAATCTAGTTGGTCTAATACAAGATATTACCTCTACCACAAGTGCTGATTCCTTTTGCCTCTAGACCAATACAGCTACAACCTGGACACCTGACAGATGACACACAGTTACTTCAGTTAATCAGGACCAGGAAGGATTGTGAGCACCTTTAGAGACCTAATCAAGGTAGGCAAATCCACAACATGATGGCAAACTGAAAACCAAAGATTGACAAGTGCACATCAATATATATAGGAGGGAAACTTTTAAACTACTCAAGCACTCATGCGCTTTACAGAGCTCTAAATTAACTGGACCGAAGAAACAGACCTGAACCTTCTCTTCAATGTGCAGCTGCATTTTAAAAAAAAAAAAGAAAAAGCAAGTAAGATGTTTAGGATGTAGAAGGACTGTGGTAGGAAATAAAACTGAAGATCTAATTTCGTTATGTCAATGAATGGTGTAGCCTCGATACAATACTCTAGCATCATCCAGAATACTGTAGATGGAACTGGTCATCCCATCTCAGAAGCATAATGCAGAATTGGAGAAGGTGCAGAAAATAGTGGTGAGACACCAGAGGCCGGGCAAAGCCCTTGTATGGAGAGAGATTGAAATGACTGGGATTGTTACTTTTAGAAAGAAGATTGAATGAGGGAGTGTAATAAAAGTGCACAAAATGACAAATGGTCTAGAGATAGATTGTGGACTTTTTCTTACTATCTCATACTATAAGAACAAGGAGACATTCAGTGAAATTTAAGAAGTGGAGAAACTCAAAGGGCAAATTTGCTAGTAAAGTCTTTGGAATAGCTGGCAGGTGTGGGGTGATCCTGTGCTCCTTTTTCATGGCATCTAGTCGTGCTACGTAGTTGCACTAGAACACCTTTCTACTTAACCAAGTTTCAGTATTTGTTTCCTTTTTCTGAATTTTATTGACTTAGCTCCATGACTGAGCTGGATGGCAGATATTATACTCAACAACAAATCTCTCATTCTAAGTTAAACCTAAAGCCAGTTTTTACCTTCCCCTAAGTATGGGCATAAACTAGCTGGATATTTTTTCTGTCACTTCATAGATTTCGTAGACATTAGGGGCTGGAAGGGAGCTCATGAGATCATCGAGTACAGCCCCCCCTGCCATAGGCAGGAAGTCAGCTGGGATCAAGTGATCCCAGCAAGAAAAATATCCAGATTTTTTTGAAAGAGTTGTAGATCTCTCTCTCCTCCACCCCACAGGGTTCTTACAATGACTTCTTCTCTGCGAGACAGTGGAGTTAAAATGAGAGAGAGAGAGCATTCGTGATAGCTTTTAAAAAGTAAAAATAAAAGTAGGAAAAATTCTTCTTGGCAAGCTTTCAGGTATAAATACCCTTTGTCACGAAAGCATGCTAAGAAGAATTTTTCCAACTATTTAGTTGGCCTAATAAAAGATCATAGATTTACCGAAAGAACGTTGCCTGCCTATGTCCTTAGACCAACACGACTACGACCTACAGCCCTGTAATAAAACTAGAACACCTTCCTTTTCATTCTTTTCAGCAAGTAAGCATGTTCCAATGTTTCTTACGGGGATGAGTTTTATTTATATACTTATTATATTTGTACACCGTCCTTCCCAAGAAAGGGCTTAGGGCAGCTTACTCTGTGGGTGTGGGTGGGTGCGTCACGGTGGGGGATGCGGTACTGTTTCACTACGCATGTAGCAGCAAGTGTTCTCATTCAGTGATGCCCTGATTTGAGAAGGTCGATGACGTAGTAATTTCGTGTTTCCTGGCTGACTTACCGGTTCCACAATGTCCTGCGAGACCAAAAATTAATCCTGCTGAGGGTTGAATACATGCAAATATATGATACATCTCCATCCCATTTTCATGGATGGTGTCTCCATAGAAAGATGTGACAACTCAGACTTCTGAAAAAATGGCAGCTTTTGCAGGAACAGTTCTCTAACTTTTTGGATCATTATTATTAAAAATAATTATTTTCAAGGGATAAAAGCCTACAAATGAAATGTTACAGTGGTGTTGGGTCAGTTGGGGGGGGGTCTCCCCTCTTCTTGAGCAAACAGACAGAAGGCAGGGTCCTCTAGGGATCCCGTAAAAGATAGGAAGTAGTGAGACCTCGCTTGGTTGGACAGTCGTCAGAAAGGGAATGTGGGACTCACTGTTTTGGTCTCTTGTGAAAACAGAGAAAAGAGCAGGGCTGAACCTTGCTTAATCTTTCATCGTTAGAGGAATTGGAGAGAGCAGGAGTATGTTTTGCAGTGCAGTTCCCAGGGGAAGTGCCCATTGCCTATTGGATAACAGCTCCTTCTGCGAGAGAGATGCAAAGACCTGCTTGTTCTACACTGTACCACTAAAAATAAGAATGATGAAAAGAAATCCACCCCGCTGTTGAATGGCTAATCATTTTAGAGTTCATTATTTGGGGGAGGTTCTAGTTTGTTCATTTTTAATCTGTTCGATTGAGAACTTGAAAGAGTTTACAGGGCATGAAAGAGGAAAAACATAGAGATCATTAGAGGATACCAGCTAGTACGACGCACTGTAATGAGAGAATACCAGTACTCAGCCCTTGAGACCAAGTCATTGGCCTAGGTAGAAACACACTACTTGATTTGATCCATGGGTTACCACTAAAACCTAGTCTTTACTAAAGAAGGTTTGCCTCTACACCTTTGAGCAGTGAAGCTGTAATGAAGATCCTTCTTTTGTTGGCACAAAAGTGATTTTCCTGGCATGGTGTTTAACAGTTGAAATAAGTTATCCTGGCTCAAAGCACTTGCTTGCCTGTGTACAATATGAGTAATGCCAGCACAGTAATTAGCAGCAAGTGTGGCACTTGTTTGTTTTTTGAAGCCCTCATTAATACTGTTCTGCCTGTTCAGGTTTCCTGTGTAGACCTAGGCTAGCTTGGATTATGAGTTTTGATAGAAACTGTTCCCTTGTGTATCGTCTTTCCATCACTGCTCAAAGCTTGCCCTCGTGAGAGTGCCTAGAAGCTGGGGCTGATGACAGATTTCAGAGTACTGTGGGTTCCTAAGTGTTTCCTTCAATATAACTTGCTCAACAATGCGAATGTAAATGGCTTTATACATTTACTGATGCTCATTTCTGATATCCCCCAGCAGATCATTTATTAAGCACCAAACCAAGTGCTCAGCAGGGTACAAACAGAAAGCAATGGTCCATGCCCTGGGGAGCTTATCTCGCCCAAACTGTACATGAAGAAGATAGATGAGAGAGAAGCTAATGTCATAAGGGGATATTTCTGTATGAAGTTTGGAGTAGCTTTAGTCAGCTTTAAATATTTCACATAGGTATTACTGGGAAAAAAAGGCCTGAGAGGATGGATGGGAACTTCAGCATAGAAATCCATAGAATATCAAGAATTGCAACCCCAGTCAGGTTGACTCTGCCTGTCTTTTTGTGACAATAGACAACTTTTAAGATCCATAACATTTCTGTTTGTGGTTCCTTCAGGCAGAATCTTAAAAATGAAAGTACAATCTCCCTGCATGGTTTGAAATCCAGTAGAGCTTCTCGTGTGGATTTTGCCCTTGTATTCTCAGCCAAAAATGTCCTGTCTTCCTTGGTCAAGAAGCATGCTGCACATGGGTTGGTTGCTGTGCAGTTGCCCCTTGCTCCAGAACCGACTGTTTCAGTGTTACTGTCTTCTGAGTACTGGTATTGTTGGAAATCTTTTGGGATGAAAGTCAGTATAAAATATGGTGGTCCTCTAACCCAATGTGAACATGTTTTATAGCTATTCCACCTGGAGGGGAAAGGGAAGCTGCCTACACGGATAGGAGTTGGTGGGTGCCTACCTGAAATGTTGGTTCTGTGCAGTACATGGTCAGACCTAATAAATCCATATTGAATCTTTGTGTGGCATAAAAACATCCTCTTCCTATAGCCCATGCTATTGTTTGTCATCCTTCTTTTGTTGCAATTCTATGTAAGTTATCTGCAAAAGACCTTCTACACTTGTGGTGAGGGGAACATTGATACATATAAGTAATAAAATGGATTCTATAAATAACAGTTGTTATCAGGCTATAATTCAGTGTCTGTGAAATGTATATACAATGAATGTGAATCTACAGCATATCGCTCTCTTGGTGGAATAGCACTCGCCTGCTTGCTTTTGTCTCTCTCCTTTCTCTTCAGCATGTGCACCAAATGCATCTTAAATGTCATCAGCAGGATTTTCAGAGTGGCTTCCCAGAATCTGTCAGCTTGTCAACAGAGCGTTTCTTCTCCTAGATGAAGGAGCTATAGTGTCCAATACCAGTACTCCTACAAATGCCACCATAAATGTTACCTCTAGGAATAGTGCACTGAACTTCTCCCTGTGTCTGTTGGCAGGAAACTGGAGATAACAACCAGTTCTGCTGGAGAAACCTGTTTTCCTGCATTAATCTGCTGAGGATCCTCAACAAGTTGACCAAGTGGAAACATTCTAGGACAATGGTGAGTTGGTGCATGGCGGTTTGAGCTGTGTCTCTCAGAAATCCTGTTGTGAGATTACTAGCATTTTGATGGGATGTATTGGGTATTATGTTATATCTGCTCATTCTTTTTGTAGCAAAGACAGACTTCTGTGTCCAAGAGTTGTTTGGTATTAAGTGAGGATAAAGTTGTTTTTCTCCCCAGATCTTGTCCTTGGCAAGAAAATGTTTCGGGTATATCGTAGAACCAGATGGAGGTAATCTAATCCAACCCACCGCTTGAGGCAGGATCGTCCCTATTCAAGCCATCCCCTACAAATCCTTGTCTAACCTATTCCTAAAACTACATAAATAGCCCTGTCACACAATTATAAGTCATATCACCCAGAGATACCAAAATCACCTTAACCCACCACAGGTAAAGCAGGTGGATGAGGGCTGTCGGTGACCTACCACTGCAAGTGTTGTTTGAGAGATCCAAGGAAGAGAGCTGTGCTTCATGCTACAAAAAAAAGGCAACCCGCCCCCCCCCACACACACACACACGCACACTCCAGTCCATACCCATATGACCAAGGGGTAAAATTCCTTCCTGATCCCAAATGTGGTTTGACCCTGAGTGGAGGGGCTAGATCATCTAAACAAGAACCTGCAGGGTTTAGTCCCAGCAGGAACATTGCATACCCTAGTCAGCATCCCCAGCCTTAGCTGATGCCAACACTCAATGCTTCTGAGGTAGGTGGATAAAAGCCACGACACCTGTAGCAACAGGAGGGGGAAATTCCTTCCCGGCCCCATGTGGCAACCGGCAAAGACCAGAAGCATGAGAAAACCAAACATGCTCCATTCTGCTCTGCAGCCTGAGGACAGCAAGCATCATGACACGCATTGCACCCTCTTGCTTGACTCCCCTTTCTGTATCCCCTCCATAAACATATCCCAGCTCCTTTTAATCTTCTTTCATGAGCAGCCTAGTTGTGGAGCTGTTTTGTTCTCTGGCCGACTCCTGTATCCACCTGTTCTAGGCTACAGAGCTCAGCGATCCATCCCAGGGGTGGGCTCCTGGGCTTCTAGCTGTTGCTCCTTACTCACAATACAGCACAGAGCTATGAAGAGAAACTCATGCAAGTTCTTAGCAAGCAAGCTTTGATACAGGAAGTGGTATAATCATGTTAGCGTAGTTGTCCACTCTGGCTAATTAATTTTGTCCCCATGGGTTTATTACTTGTTCACCTCTCCCTTCTTCCTTGTCTCTTGTATTCAAATCACTCTCTTCAGTACATGCTCTGTGCAAGTCCTTTCATAGCACCTGGTAAAATGAGGTCAGGCTCACAAAAGCTCAGGCTGTACTTCTCTGATTGAGTCTATAAGCGCCCCTGCCACTTGTACTGATTTGGTTCTCTGCTCCCATCTCGCCCCATCTCCCTTTCCTTGTTTATGCCAGGGTGGTGATCTACCACAGTGAACAAGCCTTCTGTTTTTGGGTTCTGTTCTGGCTGCCTGCACAATGGAGTCCTCTGAAGTTACTCCTAATCTGTCTTCTTTCACGTTGGTTCATATTAAGGTTCAATCCAGAAGTCTGCTCCCCAGCATAAATTATCTTCTGCAAAACAATGAAGTCCATAATGCCCATTTTCTACCCCCACCTCTGCTCATGAGAACTGCCATTTACAGGGTCAGTTCACAGGTCCGGCATCCTGTGTTGCAAAGGAGCAGAGAGCGGAGGCTGAAAGGGAGCATGAACAAGGTGTAGGACCAGGGTTTTTTTCCTACTGTTCCACTCATCTGCTGTACTTCACAGGAAAAAAAATTGAATAGGGATGTTTTTTATACCACACTTATCAGTAGGGCCTATGGGTGCCTAATTATTTTAGAAGGTACTGGAACCAGTCATGTTGGTTTGTTTGTCGATAGATGCTGGTGGTTTTTAAATCGGCCCCAATCCTAAAACGAGCTCTGAAGGTGAAGCAGGCCATGATGCAGCTGTATGTCCTGAAGCTGCTGAAGATCCAGACCAAATACCTGGGGCGCCAATGGAGAAAGAGCAACATGAAAACCATGTCTGCCATTTATCAGAAAGTGCGACACCGCATGAACGATGACTGGGCTTATGGCAATGGTAAGTACTGGCAGGCAGGCACTTCCTTGCTTGCAGCTAATGCATGTGTAGTTTGTCACCTTCTGCCTCATCTGCAAATTGGGCTCTACCAACCTGGTCTTGCAAAGACCTGCACTAGCAATTTTGCTGAAGCTGTAAGGCCCTGCCTACTTATCTGAAGGTGAAAATAGATGTAATTTCTTCCCTACTATGGTGAAGGAGGCTGATCCAGTAGGAACTATAGGATCAGAATTTCAGTGCCAGCTTAACTGGTACGACATTGTCTACTGTTAAGATCATTTTAGACATTAAGCAACCAAACTCTGCCTCAGAGCGCACCAAGTTTGCAGGAGTGAACTTGGCCAGGGTGTGAAAACCTGAGTCAGGCTCTGCAGGTCCTTTCTGTGAAATAAAGGCAGTTATAAGCTAACTGTACACACTGCATGGGCTGTGTTTTGGCCTGGGGTCTGCCTACCTGCCACTGTTGTGATGCAGTTTGTCCATATTTTCTAAAATGGGACAGACAACACAACACCACAGCGTGACTATCACAAACCAAAGCGATACAGTTAGCTACAAATTCTGTATACTTAGGATATTTTCGGTGAGCACAGTAACCTGAATCCCAGGCCCCACTAAAGGGGGAGGAGCATTGTTGCCTTTAATAATGTACTTGGCCTAAAAGCTTAAATGGTACCCATTGTGCTTAAATTTCCTAATGAGGATTAAGTCAAGCATCAGGTAGTGCTTGCAGCATCAAGGAATATGTATTAATGGGTCACTATCAAGAAATGTAGGCTTAATATTTTAGACTTTGTTGTTGGAGGTATTGGTGATTAAACATTTAGGGTATTTAATTTCAGTTTAAATGGGCTTATATTAAAGCCTTCCTGCTGCACTTCTGAGAACCATATAATAAGTATTGCTTTAATTCAGAAGGAAAAAAACCCTCATTAATCTAATTTCACTGTAGAGCTCAATAAAATCCCAAATGTAAAGACTACAAAAGTTACCTTTTTATTTTAATGCGTCTCTCAACTGATTTACCATGACATAGTCTTTTCTCCACTTGCTTATTGCTTTTTAAAGTGAATAAAGACAGGAGCTGGAAGTATTTCTGATGTAGATTACATGCAGCTATTGCATGCATTTCCTTTTTGGCTGTGTTGGGAAACCTGGACAATGTAGGTACACCCACTGCTCAAAGATAGCAACAGCAGAACACGATGCTGTCATTGTTTGCAGCCAAGGTGCCTGCTGAAGGCAGAAGCCTGCCCACCTCGCCCAGTTGGTGGGAGAGCTGACTAACAGCTGCAGTGCATAGTTACAAACTAAATTATATCATGATGTAGTTTAGTTTGCAACTATGCAAACTTATTTAAAACCCCCAGAACTGCTGCACGTGTACAGTGTGATGCCGTTAAGCCACCCAAGGTAACGTTTTAGTCACTGTACCTGGTAATGGTGTCACATGTACAAGCGCCCTGAGATGTGAGTTTAAGCCTTGCTCCACACTTGTGTGAAAAGCAGCCCCCTGTTGACCCAGGTGTGATGGCAGGTGGAATCAAGGTGGCAAGATGTGATGCTAGCCATATTGATCCTTCTTGTGCCATTAGCTGATGTGCCTTAACCATGTTAACTTGGATCAGGTGGGCTGCTGATTCTGCTCATGCTCCCTTTCGACAAAAACATCCTCTTCTCCCTCTCTATTTTGCTCCCATCTTTCAGCCTGGTTTACACTTCTAAGACTCTAATGGGAAATGGCATTTTGCCAGTTCCAAATTCCCCCAGGGACGGAGATTTAAGCATCAGCATTATGTGATACCTGATTGCATGGTTCACTACTTAGCAGACATTGCATCCTGATCTAGACAGTCTGTCAGTCTACTGTATAAGTGCTCCAGCTTTCAGACAAGACCTAGAAATGTTTTCCCATGAGAAAGTTTATTTTTGTCCTCTGTATACAGTCTGAGATCCTACTGAACTCATTAAATCTGGTTTTTCCTCCTAAAAAGCTATTGAGATGATTTTTTTTTGTTCAAGGAATTCTCTGTACCATAGAGAGTGAGTATTTCTTATAGAACAGAACACCAGGAAATTTGAGTGATATTGTCTAGAAACATTACATGGCTGAAATATCGTGGCTATTACAGCCAGCTATTAATTGCACAACATTGTCTGAAGTTAAATTTGCCTAATATTTCTCATTAAGAGACCTTGTTTTCATTGACTTATAAACTTTCCTTAATCAGACATGTCAAATCTCTCATTTTCTATCTTTTAGTAAGAACGGTGAGGTTGTTTTGAAAAGTAGTCAGTGTTATATGATATCAGAATGCATACACAGAAGGGGTACGAGTTAAGATTGTCCAGGAAATTTTACTTCTGGTTTAACTTTTAATGCTTAGTTTTTTAGTGCTTTATAATTGTAGAGTTATACTTCATAGAAAAGAACCTCTAATGTATGCATGAACTGGTTTGGAAGAAACTCTTGTAGTCACTGCTGTGAATTTGACCAGCTCAGCCATATTGCTTTATTCTGAGGTCACAACCCTCTATTTCTGCTAAACCTTATCCCATGTCAGAGAGAGAGAACGATTTTCTCATATTTGTGTGTGCAGATATTGATGCCAGACCATGGGATTTCCAAGCTGAAGAATGCACGCTAAGAGCCAACATCGAAGCCTTCAATAACCGCAGATACGATAAACCACAGGTCTCTGAGTTTGCGCCTGTGGACAACTGCTTGCAGAGTGTGCTTGGACAGCGGTTGGAGCTCCCTGAGGATTTCCATTACTCCTATGAACTGTGGCTAGAGAGAGAGGTGTTTTCTCAGCCTATCCGCTGGGAAGAGTTGCTACACTATCAGTGATAAGAGAATTACCCAAACTAAATGCTGTCTCCATAAGGATACAAGGTGCTACTATCTGGGAAAGAAGTCACTTTATGACTGGGGGTCCTTAAGTCTGGGGGCAGAACTTGCTAACAAGGAAGTTGCCTTTTTTATTTATCCAGACCCCCGCCTCCCCTCCTCCTGGACACACACGCTGTGGTATCCTAAAACTTTTAGGGACCTTCCCATCCCTTCACTTGCACCTTTCAGAGACCATCAATATAAATGGACCTGCACAGATCAGGTTCTGATGTCACACTAGTTACAATTTAGAGTAGTAACAGTGATTGTACTGGTGTTCACTCCAGATTTACACAGGTATAACAGAGATCAGAATCAGGCTTGAGTGACTTGGCTTCTTCTGAGCTTGGTTCACATGTATAAGTCAGCTGTGTAAGTAGCTTCCCTGTGGAAGGTTTGTCTTGCCCGGTTGCCCTATGTAGTGCTTAATGGTTTCACTTGCTCATCTTGGCATCAATACGTAGATTAAACACCCTGGTTACTAATGCCTCTAAAGTTCAAAAGTAAATAGTAACCAACACTATGTGATGACCTCAGTAGAGGCTCATGGATAACTGAAGTCTAGAGGTGGAACCGCAGTGCTGCTACTTGTGTTGTACAACCCATTCTGTGAAAACTTCTGTTTCCAGAACTGCCAATCTTGCCAGATTCACCAGGCCTGTTATTTCCATACTTTTCTTCATGACTATTCTTTTATCCATCACTGCATTCACTTAATTTTTTGTAATAAAGTTAAATGAATATTAACTGTAGCTGCCTGACTACAATATGTGAGCTGTAAAAGAGTTAGAGTGCCTGGGAGCCTTTCTACTTTATATATGAGTGAGCCCAGATTGAAATTACCATTTTAAACACTAAGGCTTGCCAGGTAAAGCATTCTTTTTCTCATCTATCATGGGTATCCAGTTAATTTTCCAGGATTTTTCTTTCTTCCAGTACCTTGCAAGGAAGAAACCACAGCAGGGCTATTTACTGGAAGGCAATTACTGCAATCCAGTAGATTACCAGTTTGCTGGTTTTTTCCATTTTTGGCCATGAAGGTGACAGTAAATGCAATGTCTTGCCAAAAGTGACCCTTTTGACTTGTGACACAAGATTTTCTTTTGTTGTGGTGTTCTGGGGGAGCTGGTCTTTGTGCTGTATCCTAAAGGTGGTAAGTGGATGGGATAGCATTTCATTGTCAAGATGAAGCAGAATATCAGACTTTGCAGCCTATAACTTTCAAGAGGAAGCTCAGTCTTCATGCATTATACATGATTTCCTCTGCTTGGACAGCTCACGGTTTCATAGGCTAAAATCTTCAGGCAGATTCTACCTCAGCTTAAACCTGTGTTACAGTCTCCCCTCGGCCTGTTATAACCATGCATTTGGGAGTGAAATCTTTGTCCAGTATATTTAAAGTTAATGGCCACACTACTGAATGAGCTGGACACTTGGCCTAGGCTTGTAAAATCCTTGGCATTTCAATAAAAGTTTTGCACAAGGGCCACAAGAGGGGCTTTATAAAAGCAACGTTGAAGTTGTCATAGCAGCAGTGCCTGGACACTGAGCTTACTCTACAGAGCCCCTAAGTACTGGACAGCAAAGGTCTTAGGTTTAATCTTTCTGACAACAGTTTTGTCAAAGAAGCATGGCATGCACCTGTGTATTTCAGGCAAAACTTCTTATAAATTAGACTGTAATGCTAGCTGCATTTCAAGAACACAAGCAATAAGACCACATGTAGTATGATGGCATATCTGTTCACTGCTATGGAATTAGCCTAAGAATGTTTCTTAGTATGATTTGAATAAGGCACTTTTCCAAGATGGCAGTAGTAAATCTGTTCACTTCTTAAGCACATTTTGTGTCCAAAAATAAAGTGAGTGACTTTTAAAGTGTGTGCATTTCCTTAAAGTGTTAGAAGAAAAATGGCAAATGTTTTTGTGAAAATGCAAGGTTTGTTCAGTCCTACCTGCAGCCAGCCTTCTCTTCTCTTTCTGCCTCCGATCTTTCAGTATTGGAGGGGCTTTCTGGTACAGCCTGAGAGGTTGGACAATTTGTACTGACGTTTCTAGGGAGACCTAATCAAACAGAGGAGCAGAGAGAGAATTACTTGATATATAGGTGTCCCTCCGGTGTTTGTACATGTGCCTCAAAACTAGGAGTGAGAGTGAATAATTTCCATATGAATAACTGAGCTAAGCGAGTTTTAGAGAAAAGTGCTAGGGATAGTTATACATAAACTGGTTTAAGTGATCAGAAACTGGTTTAAATGTGTAACAAAACAGAAGTTCAGGGCGCACAAACCAGTTTCAGAATGGCTGAAACTGGTTGAAGATAAACCTGGTTGAATGTAGTATCACATTTAACTGATTTAGGTCAAACTGGTTTATGAAACTTCTGTCCCAGATCCCTTCCTGGTTCAAGTTAAATCACAGTCCCCCAGCATCCCAGGATGCTTTGCAGCCCTGGGCTGGGCTTTGCTGTCTGCTGCAGAGAACAGGGCTGTCCCCACCCCTCTGCTCCCTAGCCGGAGCTGTGAAGACTGGCTGACGGGGTCGGGGTGGGAAACCAGGCTGGGAACCGCAGCTGGGTCTGCCGGCAGGGGGGTCCCTGCTGGAGTGAAGAGGGCAGGGGCATGGGCCAGCAGGCTCAGGTGGAGGGGAGGGAGGGGGTTAAACCCCCTTTCCCACCAGCACAGGACCCCAGCCAGGGTCTGCTTGGCAGGGGCACGGCAGCCCCTGGCAAGCTATTCCCCACTCACCACAAGACCAGAGCAGGTGGGGCGTGGGGCAGGGAGGTGAGGGACTACCTCCCCCATTAAGCAAACCCTGGCTGGAGTCCAGGGCCTGGCCGGGGGTTTAAAACCCCTTCCCTGGCTCAATGCACTGGCCCTGGGGCAGGGTGTGACCACACCGCCTGCTCTCCACCCAAGGAGGGAGCGGAGCACAGGGGGGGCAACAGCCTGAGAGGGACTGCTGCCCCCCCACCCTAGGTAAACTCTGGCCCCAGGCCCCAGCTGGGTTTTGCCTGGGGGGTGCAGTCCCTCTCAGGCTCTTGCCTCCGCTTCCCACACCCTGCTTCCCACTCAAGCAGAGAGCAGGAGACGTAGCCATGCCCCAGCCCAGGACCAGCACACTGAGCTGGGAAAGGGGGTTTAAACCCCCTCCCTGGCCCCAGACCCCAGCTGGGGTTAGCCTGGGGAGGGCAGTCCCCCCCAGGCTTCCCTGCCACCCTCTCCACTCCAGCAGCAAGCAGGAAATAGCCTGGCAGGGGCTTTTCTCCTCCCACCCCCCTGAAGCGGGGGGAGGAGCAGAAGCCTGGCAGGCGCTGTACCCCTGCCCAGGCAGGCCACGGTGGGGGGCATGGGCAACTGGTGCCTCCTGACTCAGGGGGGGCACTTCCCCCCCACCCCACCCCCAGCAGCCAGTCAGTGACCAGGGGAGGGGGAGGGTCGACCAGGAACCCAGTGCGATCAGCTGCAGGGGAACCCCTCCCCGGTCGGTGCGATCGCTGGCTCTCAGGGGGTGCACCAGTGTTCTCGGGGTGCACGTCACCACTGGTGGGAGGTTTAAAATGCCCTTCCCCTGGCCTCAGCGTGCTAGCCCCAGGCTGTTCCCTCCACTTGAGCAGGGAGTGGGGAAAAGCTTTCAGGCCCTGCCCTTTGGCAGTGGTGGGCAGGCAGGCATGCCCTAGCAGCCCTGGCTCTTGGCCTGAGCCACTGTAGGCATGTGGCTGCATTTCCTAAATCCAAAGTGAATGTTTGTCGTTTGCTTCTCAGTTTAATCTCTTGCGACTTAAACCAATGTTAAGACTGAATCAATTCAGCCTTGGGCTTTTTGACTGTCTATACTTAGCCAAGATGGTCCAGATTTTAGAGAGCTAGTCTACAAGTGTTAAAACTCCCTGTTCCCCCATAGAGTCGTGGTGTGCCTTGGTTCCCTCCCAGCAGAATTTGAGGATAATAGCATTTCCTTCCCTCTGACAGATGTGAGAACAAATAAACTTTAGATGAAGGTGTTCAGATACTACAGTAATGGGAGTCACATAAGTACTTGGGTATCAGTAGAAATGCAGTATAAGTACTACTACTACATGACCAAAGAACTAAGCTGTCTTCACCTCACTTGTGGTGCACATTATGCCCTGATTGACTTGTGTAGCAACTATTTACATACAAATAGTTGTATCCTAATTGTCCGCAAGAATAATGTGCATGTTATAGTTGTCTGATCTTTTATCTTTGATGTGTAATAAGAAGATGCGTACTAAAATTGGGGCTATTATATAGCTGTAAAACTTTATAATCATTCAGACTTCCACTTGCTTTTATCTTCTGTCTTCTTTCCACTGCTGGGGGGGGAGAATTCAGTTGTCAAAGGGCCAGTTATTAAATGTATGGAAACCTTTTCAGTAACAGTAGTACTGATGTAGCTGATTCTGCTCACCACCACCTGGTAGGTTTGAGAATTGCACTCAGGCCTCCTGCAGTTTCCTCTTGCTGGGTAACAGAGAACTTTCAACACATTTGTGAATGACTTCTCTAACCCTTTGACCTGATTGTAACAGGAGATTCGTTAATGAAAGTGCTTTTGTAGGTAGGTAGTATCAGAAGCTATAACAGGCAGCCCCACCCTGGCCATTTAGCTAGCTGGGGTGCATCAAGCTAGCCACCCTGTGTGTCTCCTGATTGTCTAGGTCAAAGGGACAGCAGGGCCCCTATTTGAGCCCAGATGGGGGCAATGGTCTTCAGGTTATTCAGCAAGTTTGTTTCGGAGCACTAGGTGCCTGGCTCCTGTTCCATATCTCTCCTCTAGCTATTGGTATGACCAGCCATGATCAAGGTAGCGTAACAGACAGGAAGGAGATGTCATGTTCTTAGATGTGGATGTTGTGTTCTTAGATTTTAGCAAGGCCTTTGATACGGTATCTCATCCTATTCTCATAAATAAATTAAGAAGCTGTGACTTAGATGCTTACACGGTCCGGTGGGCGGCAAATTGGCTTGGGGGTTGCACCCAGAGAGCGGTAGTAGACGGGTCAGTATGGACTTGGAAGGATGTGGGTAGTGGGGTCCCACAGGGCTCAGTCCTTGGACCTGTACTCTTCAATGTGTTCATCAGTGATTTGTATGTGGGTTTGACACGTACTCTATCCAAGTTTGCAGATGATACTAAATTGTGGGGTGAAGTGCACACTCCGGAGGGTAGGGAACAATTGCAGGCAGACCTGGACAGGTTAGAAAAGTGGGCAGAACACAATAGGATGCAGTACAGCAGGACAAGTGAACAGTGCTGCACCTTGGGTGTAAAAATATCCAGTATACCCACTGGCTGGGAAGTGACCCTCTCAGCAGCACAGAAGCGGAAAAGGATCTCGGAGTCATAGTGGAGTCCAAGATGAACAGGAGTCGTCAGTGTGATGAAATCAGCAAAGCTAACTGCATTTTATCATGCATCGACAGGTGCATGACGAATAGATCCAAGGAGGTGATGCTTCCCCTCTATGTGGCATTGGTCAGACCCCAGTTGGAGTACTGCATCCAGTTTTGGGCACCGTACTTCAAGAAGGATGTGGATAGACTCGAGAGGGTCCAGAGGAGGCCACTCATAGTCAGGGGCTTACAGGACAAGCCCTATGAAGAGAGACTAAGGGACCTGGACCTCTTCAGCCTCTGCAAGAGAAGGCTGAGAGGTGATCTTGTGTCTGCCTACAAATTCATTAGGGGGACAGCAAGGGATCGGAGATGCTCTGTTCACCAGGGCACCTCTTGGGATAACAAGGAGCAATGGTCACAAACTGACAGCAGATTTAGGCTGGATATCAGAAAAAACTTCTTCACGGTGAGGGTGGCCAAAACTTGGACTGGGCTGCCAAGGGAGGTGGTGCTCTCCCCCGCCTTGAGGGTCTTTAAGAAAAGATATGAAACACGTTTCATATCTCAATATATAATTGTGCTCCTGAAAGCCAAGGTGTTACTGTGTATGGCAGTGAAATGGAGTAACTTTGATAGTGCCTCTTCATCTTGAACATTTTATTCAATTTTGGTTTGTGACTATTTAATAAATGTTGTAGAAATTGAAAAGACTTATGAAAGGCATGTTTAAAATGTGAGCCTGATCACTGGACAGTTTTAGGTCTTATTTGCTATACACGATGAAATAAGTTGTTTAATGTTTTGGAGACAAAGTTAACTGTCTGCTTTCTAGTGATGATGGGCATTAAGTATTCTTAAAGGTCTCTCATCTAAGTACTGACTTGGCCTGATTCTTACTTTGCTTGACACTTCTTAGAGAATAGAATGAAATCTAAAGAAAGAGAGTTGCTGGCCAAAGACAAGCCATTGCAATATTGTTTTGAAACTCGGTGGATGAATTTGTTTTATGGCTTGTTTAATGATACTTTTTAAATAGTCGAAGAAATATAAAGGGATAAGTAACCTACAGAGAATCGCTGTCATGTGTTACCTTCAATCAAAAGCAGATCTCTGAATGAAATCCAGACACCACTGAGGTCAATGACTAAATTCCTTGTTGACTTCAGCAAAGCTGAAATTTCACCTCAAAAATAAAATTTACAAGAAGAAATCTCTGGCTATATATTCTTACAGATAAAGTATGCTACATACAACCCCCAAGTAGGCTGGTTAAAGTTTATGGCGTGGGGGCTTTCTCCTCTCTACTAGAAGGTCCATCCGAAATCTGTATTATAAACAACAATGTTCTATCAGACCTGTCAGCATTATAGCTGACCTCCAGAGTAAATGTTAATTCAAACTTGAAGTTATCCTGGTTGCTGGCCCCATCTATGTGAGTGTTTTGTTTTTATTTCTAAGACTTTTGTTACCCTCCTATAGTTGCATCAAGCTAACATTTACATTAGGCAAATACAGGTA